AAATCCAACTCAAAGAGTTCAAGTTAAAAGCTGAAGAAAAAAATTCCTCATGAAGATCTTGAGTGATGCAATTCTAAGATACACTCAAACCACATGCTCGCATGGTGCAGACCCCTATCGAGAGGGTAACTGCATTGACAATTTGTTAATGAATCTAGGGTAGAAACACGTTAAATCAAGTTGAAAAGTTATGAATATAACTATGGGTGAGCATTTCCTTTCCAAAAATATGATAACCTCACGAACTAAGTATTCTGACGCAGGTTTATATACATTCTCAAAACATATGAACTAAAGACCATTTCATGAAGTCTCACAAATCTCCAACTCTCACTTAAAGTCAACGCCATAGTCATGACTTTGTTGAGCCTTTCTTGAAGCAAGGAAAATAATTTGAAAAAGTTTTGTATTTGGAATATTAAAATTGACCATTTTGGCCTTGGTGAGAATTTAAAAGAAAGTTCATGGTTTTGTGGATCATAAAGGAAAAAGATTTTTATTTTCCGGTTATCTACATTGTATTTGTTAATTTTCAATTTTGTTTCCTTTGCATGCATATTGTTCCTAGAGCTTTTAAGTATTTGTTCTTTCATCATTAATCCTTTTTGTTTCCAAAAACTTATTCCAAGTCTTTTCTTTTTCTTTTCTTCCTTGAGGACAAGGAAGGGGTAAACTTTGGGAGATTTTATAGGTGCATTATCTTGCACCTTTGATGAGTTTATTTTATACCTTTTTAGTTTAGTTTTCACTTGCTTTTTGCATATTGGGACGGAACTCGAAATTCGCTACTTTCACACTTTTGTTGTGTTTCAGGTTGATTAGAAGGCTAAATATCATAAAGGAAGTGTTTAGAAGTTATGGTGAAAGTTGCGGATTGTACGGAAGCATGGTGAGTTGAATTGGGCTAGGCAATGCATAAGAAATGGGCTGGAATGGAGTGAAGTGAAGCCTAAAGAAGACATGGGCTAACCTATTGGGTTTGTACTTGAAGATTTAGGCTAAGAATACATGTGCAACCCGCACACAATTTATTCATGTAAGGCGTGCAGTCTGCACATACATGATCACACATGAATAGCTGGAATCAGATCTTGTATACGTAGTGAATGATTGAATAACTTTCCAGCTTGAAAAAGCAAAGAAGATGATTATCTATAGGGGCATTTTCGTATTTTCGTATTTCTTGTATTTTTGGCGTATTAATATCATTTGAGAGTTAGAGAGAAGACATACTTCAGTTCTAGGAAACCCTGGAGGTCATACTCTCCTACCATTGAAGACCAATTGAAGAATACTATCTTTCTAGTTTTATTTGTAAGTTATTTTCATTATGTCTAGCTAAGTTTACATTTTCAATGTTGGGTAAAACTTATGAACAACTAGTCTTGTTTTGAATGTTTTATGAGTTTCTAATTTATTTCCATGAATATAATTTCTAATTGTTCTTGTGTTTTTGATCATGAGCTTAAATACACGAATGATTTAGTTAGTCGTTTTCTTTATTATGTAATAGATATTCAAAACGACAAGTAACAAGTGGTTTTTATGTTTGTTTTCATTTCATTTTAAATTATGAAATTGTGTTCTTCATCATGGTAATGAAAGCAATAGATTACCTCTTGGGTTTGATGATTCTTTAAAATATAATGCTAATCAATATTTGTGTATCAATTGCATATATTGATCCTTGACCATGATTAAGGGGAATTGTTATGAACTTTTCTAACTTTCCTAAAAAGTATGAAGAATGAATGTAACTTTGGCTTCCTTAGTTATTATAGTCAAATTGGAATGAATTATAAACATTGCACCATAAACCATAATGATAAACTAACAGTCGGAATTGAGACAATATCCCAATAATGATTATTTTTCTAATATCTTTTTATCTTATCTTATCTTTGTTATTATTTTTATGCCTTTTTATAATAATCAAATCCCCCTCTGTTTATGTACCATAAGTACCTTAGGAAAAGAGGTATTGGTATAAATTATTGTCCGTGTCTCGTATGATCGATCCTTGCTTACCTCGTATTAATATTTAGTGCAAAAGAGCATTGAATAAATCTTGGAGTATTACATTCATATCATATTGTGTATTCCATTATTTGTTGAAATAACGAACCAACAGTTTCCTTTCTCACCTGATACATGATACATCATATGTTCTTTAACCTATTTGGGCAAAAAAATAACATTGTCTAATATAATATCTTAATTAATTCCGGGCCCTAGATTTCCATGTTATAGGCGCACGTTGAACACCTATTGGGCACATATTGAATACCAACTTTCCTTTCTCACATGATACATCATATGCTCTTTAACCTATTTGGGCCAAAAAATAACATTGTCTAATATAATATCTTAATTAATTTGGGGCCCTAGAATTTCCTGTTCATAGGCACCTGAACACCCATTGGATAGACTCTAAAGTTAATAAGACCATGTGACTATTCTTATGATCTGTTTTATATATTCTCACTATCGTGATTAAAAATCAATTAAATTAAATTCATTCTATAATTTGTACATGGAACATATAGAATGGAATCGACAGAGACGTCAATTATGCATGGATTTATTTAGAAAAAATAATATTTAGCAGTTATTTAAAAATAAATAAATTCAGTTGAAACATTTAGAAAATCTTATAAACTTATAAATACCCAAGCTTCAGCAGTTATTGGCCCAATATAGCTATTATCTAGTTTCATTAACATATAAATTTAATCCAATAAATTAAGCCCATTAAGAGATCTTTCAATATATTTTCTAATCTTTGAAAAATGAAAATGTGAGCCCACTGCCTCATTTACCAGACATCGCTCCACCACACGCCTCCTCCTTGTTCAGGTACACTGCTCCGGCGGCAGCAATAAATCGACCACCGTTATTGTGTCGTTTAACGAAAAAAACATGATCACTCTTCCAAACAATGCCTCTCGTCCGAGTCTTATCACATTCTCATAATCCACCACATTTCACGGTCTGTGCTGGAACTAGGATCGAACTCTGTCACTTTGATTCATATAGTTGGCCGGAGGAAAACGTAAAGAAAGCTTATCAGAAAATTCTCATAAGTCAACGAAGTCTATGCCGGAAAACGCATCAGAATACCTATTCCCGTTACCGAAACTCCTCCAAAAATTCATTCCCTCTCGTGTCGTTGTAGGTCAGGTGAATAACACACAACTCTATATAGATACTCATCGCTTCATGCTCCTTGTAACACCATAATGGCCGAAAACTAAGATTTAGAAATCAACTTGACATCTCTGGATATGTAGTTCACGTTGGAGATATGCTTGTCTTCGTAAGTAGTAGCGTTATTGCGCATCTGTTAAAAAAACATCCTCAACTATTGGGGCAACTGAATGATTTGGAATTGATAATTATAATAGGTTAGCTTCTTAGGGTTCAAAGGATGTATGACATTGCTATGCTAAGATATAGGGAAAGGACTATCTTGATTAGAAAAGGAAAAAAAATCGTTTGCTATTTGTATGTGTGCTTGAGAAACTGAATACCACAATCCAAATTGGTTGTTGAGTTCAAATTTAGATCGTTTAGGTCTTTGGTTTGGGCTATGGATGCTTTTTGTATAATGGATTTAGTTGGTTTTTGCGTGAGTATTCATAGGTGTGGTAATTGGTATCACCATCCGTGGGTCCCACAACAAACACGGAGAAGGTAAATCACAAAGTCCCTGAAGCAAGGAAGGTAATGTCCATACTTGAACTTGAGATAACTTATGGATTATGACCTTCTTAATTTCAAAGTACAATGACTTAATAAGAAAAAAAAATGGAAGTAAAATGTTGTACTAAACAGAAGAAAAAAAAACACAAATGGTTCCTGTCGTTTACAGAAATCACAAATTTAGTCCCTAACTTTTTTGTTGATGTGAATGGTCCCTGTGGTTTCAATTTCTTGCATCTTTGATCCTTGAATTGACTCATATAAAATTACATTTATACCCTCCTTAATTTCATTCACCTGTTTTTTAACTAACTTTAGTTAAAAAAAAAAGCAAATAAACCCCCCACCCTACCCTCCCTCCCCTCATCTTCATCCCTGATCTTCTTCCTCACTATTTTTTTCTCACTCACATGTTATCTTCCTCTGTTTTTTCACCATTACGAATGTTTAACGAGTCTTTATGAGAAGATATTGGTTTTTTTGGGTGATTGGATTCTTGTTACATAACTTTCATCTGTAAAATGTTACAAGATGGATTACTTAACAGTGCCAAAGCATAATAATTTTGTATATAAGACTAGAAATATATATCTAACTTTTAAGTGGGACAGGTCGTTGCTCCATTAAAACTTTGTCCTGGAATAACCCCACGAGCAACATGTGTATAGCAAGTTATGGTGTGGACTCCGAGCGTCTCAGAAGCAAACAGGATTTTGGTGAAAGTCATGAAACAATCAGAGATAATAATACATGTGACTGGAGTTTCAAGTCATTCTGGTTTACAAAGGTCAAGAAACGAAGTCAAAAAGTTGGATGCTAGGTACATGCCCACTTGTTTCCATGGTTTGAGGTTGTAGTTAGATTGAGTGTTGACAAAGGTTATTTGTAGGCCCATGCGGACATTGGTTGATAGCATGTATAAATGAATAGATGAAAATTTGTAAAAGTAGAAGAGAATCAGAAGTGTAACAGGTTTGTTGTCTTAGAAAAAAGAAATGTTGAATGTGATGTAAAATGTTTGGATAAGGATATTGTATTCTGTTTTATAATGATTTTTGTACAGAAACCGATTACATGAGAGGACATGGATCAAAAAGCAAGTCATGGATTTGTTCAGTTAAGGTGCTGCTGTGAAGTCATTGACCACAAAATAACACAAAAAATGACGACCTCTGAAATAATTGTACTTCCAAAAAAGACAACTCATGAAGATTATCTGTATCTTTTTTGGTTTTGGTTCTCAAGGATGAACCAAATCAACAAAATATATAAAGTAATTTGAAACAACATTATGACTTACATCATCTTCATTACATGTTTATTAATTAACATTAACCCAAAAACCACTCATATTGTTTTCCCCAGTTTTTGGTAATCAAAGATACAACTATCAAATGGAAAAAAACCGAAAAGATACATCGTTACTAGAAGTGACAACAAGCAAACCATCTTCATTCTTCTGGAATAAATCAGGATATAACTCATTGAGTTTCATGCGATTGAGTTATAGTAGCATTAGGTTACCCATCTTACTAGATGCATCCATGTTGAATTCAGACAGCGATGTACAGCAGCCTCTATTTCTAAAGCATTTTTATGTCAAGGACACGACCTTGAAGATTCTCCCTTACCCTACGGAAATATAAAAAGTAAGGAAATTATAAAATCTCACAAAGTATACGGACAATATAATACAAAATGCTATGAAAACATATAGAAATTTATATTACGAAAAACTGATAGTTCAAAGTCAAATACAATGTGCCGGACCATTGCCATTGATAATATAAAGTGTATTGGAGGAGATACAAACTATGAAGCGAACCCCAGTGCATTTGTGGTAAATTAACCATAGATAGAGGCTGAGGAAAGTTGTGTTCCAAAAAATGTGATGAAATTTTTGATTTTCTAACAAAGAAGTTCCACAAATTCATGAAGAATCCAAACAGAGGAAATCATCTTTTAGAAAAGATTACAAACAAAAACCTCCAGTTAACACCTTCCAGAATGCTACCTCACAGTATAAACCTCCAATGACGAAGAAAGTTTAAACCCCTATATATAAAAAGCTGAACTGGCCAGTGATGATGTTGTTAAGTTTCACAGATATAGTGGAGAAAAACATCATTTTTCCAATGATTGCAATGCAAAAAAAAAAAAAAGGTGATGAAAAATGCATCATATAATTTCTTGAACTATCAAGAAGCTGAGACGAACGAGAAAATGCACATGGGACAAATGTGGTGGAGAAATACAAACTGATGAGGACTCTAATAAACAAGCCCACTTCTCTTTCGAAAAAAAATAAAATAAACAAGCCTACTTCTTCCTTATGGTTGCTAATCTGAAATCTACAAACTCATCAAAGGATCAAGTATTTGATTTTTCCAATTCTAGTATTTCTATTAATGAACTTCATACCTCAGATCTAGATGCACGACCAAGTATGTTAGGCTTCCTTGAGGATAAAGCTCTAAACTACTCTTTCTCTTGTTCTGAAGACACATAAAAAGTAATATGTTAAAATTTATTCACAAACATCCACTTAGACAAAGTAGTTAGTATTGGGTCCCGATATATAACGACTTAATGAGTCAACATAGACCCATTCAGAAGACGGACCACTACATGGGTCTCTTCACTTAAAAGTTAGAAGCAGAAATTTTATTTTTCATATTTTATAAAAACAAAATCTTATAGTGAGGTCAATAAAATCGATGATAAATGTGTGGATTTTGGTTATATGATTCATTTATTTGTCCATCTATTTAATGAAATTGGGTCATTATACATAAGACATGACAATAAAATATATTTAATAAAAATGACATCTACCTTGAACGCTAGGGCCCTCCATAACGAATTTTCAATGATATGGATACAATACCATGACACACACAAAACACCACCAGTTCTTTAGGATGTATTCACCTGTTATTGTTTGAAAAGGGGAGAGATCTCCATACAAGTTCATTATACGCCAGTTCTTCATGTGATTCCATGGCATGTAATAACCCAAGACTCACCCCACACTCCTTTACAAGTTCATTATATGGCGTTGTAACAGTAATAGTAACGTGGTCACCACCCTCCATTTCATCCATCCCAAATATCCAATGACTTAATATCACCCAACGCCTTTGTCCTTGAAAACCTCTGTCGCAGTGACGTAGGAATATCCATGTGCAGTTCTTTGTTATATTACTAATTGTCATCATTGGCAATCGAGGAAACTGATTACATTGCAACGAACCATCGGAAGGTTTCAATGTGTGCAGAGAGCAGAAGTTGACTCCTATACCGCTGTCTGGAGATGATGATGATGATGATGATGATGATGGGATAGTAAATGATATTGATGGCCCCAAGCTTCTATGCCTAATCCAACTCGGCATCTTCTCCGCCTCATAAATTGTGCTAACTATTCCAAATTCATGAATCATCTGCCAGATACAACGACCTTAATTATATTATACGTATTCACATAAAGACAGACAATTAAGTTAAGGAAGTCTAAATTAGTCCAGCCCAAGCTACATAATACCTTTTCCTCCACATCCACCGTTGCTTCGATTTTTACCATGCCTTCAATTTCATATGAACGATCGCGTTGATAATTTGTCCAAGATGCATAATCTAACCCTTTCGTCAAGAGTGGTAACATTTCTGAATCAAATAGATGTTTGTCTACATAATGCACATCATAAGGATTAATAAACAAATCTCTTAGTGTACGTGGAGGATACTCGACTGACTTTAACTTATTACAATCCTGCATACTAAGTATCTCAAGTCTAGGAAGGGTTCTCACACAACTTGGCATGGAATTGATAGGATTTCCATCTAAATATAATTCCTTTAACATGGATAGGCAACTAAAAGTCCGTTGGAAAGGATTCATGGGACAAATTACTATTTGCAAGTGACAAACCTTACTAAAGACCTCGGTAAAGACATTGTAAAGGACTTCAAATCACTTGGTATAGCTCGCACAAAGGCGGAGGAAGAGGTTCTTTTATTTATGTCAATCTTGCTAGCGTTGAACAATTCCAATGATTCTATATCCCTAATCTGGATTTGAGATTCACCAAGACTACAACCATCCAGCAACACTGTTTTAACCTTCTTTAACATGCCTATATTTCTTGGAAGTTTTTCAAGCTTCTTGCAGTAGCTTAGATCAATGAGACCAAGTTCAACACATTGCCCAATTGATTCACAAACATCAAGCAAACCAATGCAATTTCTAAGTATTAATCTCTCAAGCGCAGGGAGTTGCTGAAAGTCACCAACACTATGAAGTTGTTTGCAGAAACTTAAATTAAGAATCTTCAATGAACCAAACAGCCTTTTATCTTTTAAGCACGATCCATCCAACTACAAATGGAAATAAGTTAGTATAGTATTGAATTTCATCAACTCACATGCATGAACAATTAATAAAGATAAGTTTACCTTTTGCCTCTTCTCAAATCGTTGTGGATTACTATAACAAGCGACAAACGATTCAATATTGCTATACGACATATCAAGAGCAACAAGATTCTCTATAGGTAAATCTGAAGGAATAGACTTTAAACGGAACCCATGCATACACAAGCCTCTTAAATCCCCGGGAAAGTTCTCATAAGATCCATGCATGTGCACATAATTTAGTTGTAGTAGCATAAGACTATCCATGTTACTCAATGCATCTATTTTCAGCTCAAATGGTGCTCCCAACTTTTCTTTCTCAAGCATGCGCATGTCAAGGGCAAGGCCAAGAAGATTTCCCTTACCCTAAGAACAAATAGAATGCAAATAAACAAATTAGGCAATACAAAATATTTTGGACATGCACACTACTAAAAGCATTCATGAGCTCTTACCTTTTTTTGTTTCAACACTCTGAATGATTCCTTATGACACCATAATCGACTTCGCTTCCATGGCTTGTCAAGTGATTCTTGACGTACTTCGAATCTTCCCATCTCTTGAACCAACTGATGCATCTTCAATTCATTATTCCATCCAATACTGAGAAGACATCTATCAATGAGATTCGTGATTCCGGATTTTGTGTTTATATCACATGCCTCTAATATGGTTTCGCTAACATCTCTATCTATTCCAACAAAAAAACAAGCAATATGCTTAAACAAGTCCTTATCATTGTTTGATGGCAAAGAGTCGAAGCTCATTCTCAAGACATTATTTACAGGGGAACTAACTTCTTTCTTTAGCCCTTCCATGCACCCTTCCCAATACTCCACATCCCGATTATGCAGAGACTTGCCCAAAACTTCAAGAGCCAATGGATGTCCTTGACAGTACTTCACCAGCTTATATGACACCTCTTCATAACCTGCCTTGGGATGGTTACACATGAATGCATGGGAACACAAAAGTTGTCGTGATTCGGTCTCATGTAAGCCTTCAAGTGAGTGTTTTACATGCTTGGGTTTAATGTTTGTTTTGAATAGTGCACAACTCTCTGTCAACCATCTGTCCTTTGTTGTTATTATAACTTTGCTTCCAGGATGAAAACCGTTGCTTCCAAGTAATGCATCCAACTGAACAAGAGTACTGATATCATCAAGAACAAGAAATACCCTTTTACGAGCTAGTGCATTCTCTATCTTTGAGGTGTTTACTGAAATATCATAAACTTGAATTGAACTTGGTTTTGAAATTTTATTGCAAAGTTGTTTTTGTAAATCAATCAACCCATTAAACTTTCCATCACATTTTCTTGTGATATCTTCAATAAAGCTGCTTGTTTGGAACTCACGAGAATATAGCCCATAGATATGTTTGGCTAAAGATGTCTTCCCGATCCCGCCTATACCCGAAATAGTGAGTATGTCTGCCATATGTGAGGATCCATCTTTCAACCATGAAGTGATAAATTTAATATGATAGCCCATCCCAATAAATAGTGGCTGAGCACTTCTTAAGGGTACATGTAATCTACGGTGGATGTCTCTCACAATTTCTTCAATGAAATCTGTCTCTCGCCTGAAACTTGATAGAATAGAACTTCAATACACAATCTACAAACTAACACACCAAATGTGGATATTTAATTTATCTAAAGATCCGAATCAAAATTATATCATAGTTACTAATTTTAATAAGTTCTTCACATCAAAACCATATTATGTTTGCACTTTCCAACAATATAAGTATCTAATGTGTAAGGTCATAAATTTATGTATAATAACACCAAAGCTACCAATCTAATAGAAGATTTCACTAATGGGCCACCTAACTTGATAAGGATCCTAACCCAGTACAACACACACCTGAGCCATATTTTGGATAAGACAATGAGCCTAAGCCTTGGATAGTCTATAGAAGGAAAAGATACAATGAAGGACACATGTAGGGTGAAGAATGGAGAAGGTTCTTATGCATGAAGAAAGAGAGAGTAAAAGGATAATTATTTAGTGAGAAGATTTTGCATAATGTCAGTTGTCTAGAATTTTCCTTGGAGAATAATTGTTCATTTTCTTCAAGCTTGGGCAGGAGGAATTCACATACTGAATTTCCTTTCGAATTGTTTCGAATCATTTTCAATTAATACATATATCTCTCTCTCTCTTTCAAATTCATTTCCTGATACATTTGTTTTGAGTTAAGAATTACATATATCAAGCTCTACCATAACTTCACTATGTTTCTACAAGACCATCAAACTAATCTATCAACGTGGTGCGTCTGAAAAACCAGTTATGGTATTGTATATTTAATAGTAGACACATAGTATACGGTTCAAATTGGTTTGATTTTTAACAGAAGCATATAAAAATAAATGAAATGGTTACTCTATCTAAATGAACTGATTTATGAGATCACATAACTGAAAACATAGATTCAACTTTGTGCATCTTCTTGATCCTAATACATCCAATATATATGTCTATTTAATGATATTAAAGAAACTTATTGAAATGCATGGGGAGAAGATGATATCAACATTGGATGCGTTAATTTAACAAGATTAAAGGCTTATGAAGAAATGGGTAAGAAAGTAGTTACCTTCCATTGATGTCATTTCCTTTTAAATTAGCAACTTCTTTAAGTGCTTTATTCCACCTGTCCATCTTTTGAGCCCATTGACTTCTTTTATTTGCATTTGTCTCTGCCTCCATTGTCTGTTTATGCTTAGACATTGCAACTCCAAAGCTACTTTGTTGCTTCCTGACATGGGTGGGCTCCACATGATAAAAGATGGGGATGACAATATGGTCGGATGTCATACGTTGCTCAAGGATCAGCACCAATTCATCCAGACACCATGTTGAAGTAGCGTAATTCTTAGACAGTACGATAATAGAAGCCTGAGATGCCTTAATTGCACTCTCCAATTCCGGTTTAAGATCTTCCCCTGTTTCAATCTCTTCATCATCCAAGAAGGTACTGATATCGGCATCAATGAGAGCCTTATGAAGGTGATCAGTGAAACTATGACGAGTATCAGAACCTCTAAAACTTAAAAATACATCATATCTATGAGCTTGAGTTGATGAACTAGGACCACAAGTTGATGGACTATGGCCATGAGTTGATGAAGAAGATGAAGATCCTTCTGGAAGTTCAGATAGAACAACCATTATAAGTTATGGGTTGATGACTCTTCACCCTTCCGACGATTTTGTGTATTTATTATACGGGGTGTATCTCAGTAAGTTCTGAAACGCCTCCACACGTTATCGGTTATGAAATTTGCTTTCACCGGCTTTCCTCACTTGTGCTTCAATGTGAGGATTTAGTACATAATGCCTCTATACATAAAATCCAAAATATTAATATCTACTATATGCAACTTAAACCTCATCAAACAGTTTGAAACTCAATGATAATAATACCCTTGAATTCTTCAAAAAGAAACTTTTAAATAATTAGAATACAACAGGTATGAACTCTGACTGTCTTAATATTTCACGTTTTATTCCCAAATATGAAGTTTCGAGTTGATTTTGTAGCTATAGTGTGTAATGTGTATATGTGTGTTTTAACCCTTAATTTCAATTTGATTTACTCGCATAAACATCCCTACTATTGTGTAAATAGAATCCATTTGAAGTTCACTTAAACAAATCAACACCAAATACCATTCTGTAAACAACTACAAGATTACTATTACCCCACACAAGAGAAATTGCAATACTTATCAACAAACAATTAAAAGATCTAAACAAAGAAAGGAGTAAGTTTCTTGACATGGTTGTTTATAGATCCCCCAAATTAGCAACGAAAATCTTTTTCAACTTTGAAATTCTCTATCACTGGATCTAGTATCAGCATAAATCTAAAGGATTTCAACGCTCATTCATGGATTAAGTGTTTCTGAAACTAAAAAGCCATGTCCTTTCTAAGGTTTCAATTTCAAAGTCTCAGAAGTAAATGAACAACAGTAACTGAAATAGAAACAAATTCAATCATATGTTAACGAAATAAACAAATGATTATGATTAATAAGATGGAATTGTCAAACATGTGAAACTAAGTTGTAAGAATGACGTTCATAGTTACCTGCCAACAGGAAGACTAGGGGACCTGGGCAGCGATTATAGAGGATGAACAGTGAGGAGCTGAGAAAGACGACGACTGGAAATTACAGAGGTTTGTCGGCGAGTGAACGAGGGAGGAAGGGAGACTGCCAGAAAGAAGAAGATATTGTGGTTCTCCTTTGCCTTACGAATTGACGGCGTTAAAGAGAATTCAAAGAAAATTAATGATAAATTCCAAGAAACTGTTTAAGTCAACAGGGAAGCTGCTAGTCAACGCCAGAGACTGGAACAACGATAATGTAACTACGTACGTAAGTGGTTTCTTTTGCCTTATCAGGATTTTGCTTCTTTTAATTTTCTTTTGATTTCTTTTATGTAACTACTGATATTTATTACAGTAAATTACACGAATGGTCCCTATGGTTTAGGATAATTTGCACGTTTGGTCCCTAACTTATTTTTTTAACTCGGAAGGTTCTACTGTTTGTTTTTGTTATGCGTTTGGTCCATGTCTTACCTAATTAGATTATTTTTTCCGTGTTTTTTTTTAAATTTATTTAAATAAACACACCCCAACCCCACCCCTCATCTTACCTTACCTACCTCACCATTTTTCCTTATTTAAATAATAGTTTTTTTAGGTAAGACAGGGGCCAAACGTGTGACAAAAACAAATAGTAAGGACCAAATGCGTAACAAAAACAAACAGTAGGGACCTTCCGAGTTAAAAAAATAAGTTAGGGACTAAAAATGCAAATTACCCCAAACCATAGGGACCATTCGTGTAATTTACTCTATTTATTAATTTACAATTTATCATCTACAATGTTTGTGAATAGTAAACATAGTAATTATAATATTATGGATTTATTAAAAAAAATCACCAAAATCTATTAAAAAGCAAATAAACGAAATATGAATTGTTTTTGTAAGTTTACCTAATCATTTTCGCAAAAATCTGAAATCCTCCAAACTTTGTACAGTCTTAAATCTTATATAATTTCAAAAATCACCAAATCTATTGAAGAAATTAAACGAAATGTCGTTTTTTTATAAGTTTAACTAAATGACGATGGGTTGCGATTTTCAGTTAGTGAGTCATGAACCGTACGATGAAAGGTCTTGTGGTCATCATTATTGAAGCCTAATTTCTTACGGTCTCAAATTTAATCTAATCACTTTCGCAAAAATTTGAATTGTAACATCCCAAAAATTTCAACAATTTTAAACTTTACAAAACGACCCTTTTACTAATAAAAATGTTTACAACATTAACGTTTCCAAAACATTATTTAAAAATCAGTGTCTCCTAATATCAATGACATAAAATCAGGATATGTACGATCACACATTCACCTTGCCACGATTTTCTGAAGTACCTGAACCCATAAACCAAAACTGTAAGCACAAAGCTTAGTGAGTTCCCCCAAAATACCAACACATAAACAGATAACATATACAAATAACAACATGCAATGGGTCCACAGCTAAAAGATTGGATTACCCTTGAGCCCACAATATGAATTTGGCTTGCCTATCAGACCCATAGCTCATATCTGGCTTGCTCCTGAGCCCGTAACATAAGTCTGGCTTGCCCTCGGGGCCCGCAGCTTATGGCTCCCTTACTCCCTCAGTCATCGGACTGGAATACCAATGTTTAGCCCTTAGTACGACTCTTGCATACCACCCGATCCTCAGCTCGTATCTGGAATGCTACTGAGCCCTTAGTATGAGTCTGGCTTGCCCTATCCGGTCCTCAGTTCATATCTAGAATGCTACTGAGCCCTCAATATGAGTCTGGCTTGCCCTACTCTCCACCTTTCCATGGATATAAGGTTCGTTGGAAATGGACCTAAGATGAGGAAGTTATGGCAATTTGAAATATTTGTCAGATTTTGCCCTCAATGGAAAAGGGTTACAAGTTGAGTCGCACACGTGCATGGAGGAGGTCACGCGCCTGGGGTGAGTACGCCCAGCGTAATGAGCAGAGTGTCAAACCCTAATTTTTAGGGTTTGGGAACTATTTAAACATCCTTATGAGCTCAAGGCTCTTTCATCTCCCAGCCTCCTTTGTCTTTGAGCCTCATTTCGAACCCTAATATCCTTTGGTGGTGCTTTCTTGAGCTTGGAGATGATTTTGAAGGTCCTTAGTGTTATTTCAAGGAGGTGGATCTTGGTGATCAAGCTTGGTGTAGCCTTGGGGTTTTAGATCCAAAATATTCACTCTCTTGGGAAGATTCAGGAGGTAAAAAGTTCTTACCTTGACCTCTTATTATGCTAGTTTGAGTTTAGGGCAAGATTAAGAGTTTTATAATGCAAATCATAGCATACATCAAGGATCCGACAACACTAGAGTATGGTCCACGTACCATATAAGCCATATCAGTCTCAGTAGTAGGACTCAAATGGGATGATAACATGAAATGAGCTGCAAAAGGTGTGTTGACAGGTTTTGCTTCATGCATATTGAAGCGTCTTAGGATTTTCTCAATGTAATTTTTCTGAGAAAGATGCAAGATCCTAGACTTCCTGTCACGAACAATTTTCATACCTAAAATCTTTTTGGCAGCTCCTAAGTCCTTTATTTCAAGGTCAGCTTTCAACCGGTCTTTCAATTTCTGAATCTTCTTCATATCTAACCGTTCTTTCAATTTCTGAATCTTCTTCATATCTTTCGCTGCGATTAACATGCCATCCACGTATAAGAGTAAGTAGATCATGGAACCATCATCACTATTTTTGTAATAAACGCAGCTTTCACGGGCGAACCTCTTGAATTTGTGACTGGTCATAAACGAATCAAAACTCTTATACCATTGTCTAGGAGACTGCTTGAGGCCATAAATAAATTTATTCAATTTGCACATGTAGTCCTCTTTGCCAGGAAATACAAAACCCTCAGGTTGTTGCATAAAAATCTTTTCCTCAAGCACATCATTTAATAAAGTTGTAGTAGCATCAAGTTGCTTTAATTCATAATCATTAGAACCAACCAATCCCAGCAATACACAGATAGAAGTATGTTTAACAACTGGGGAATAAATGTTAGTGTAATCAATACTAGGAATCTGACAATAGCCTTTAGCTACTAACTGAGCTTTATACCTTGGTTTCTCATCCGGGTTGACAGGTTCCTTGAGCTTATAGACCCACTTGCATTTAACTGGTCTTTTGACTTTCAGAATAAGAACGAAATCCCAAGTACCATTTCTTTGCAAGGACTCTATCTCACTTTGCATTACAATCATCCAATCACTTAAGTCTTTAGACTTAACAACCTCATCAAAATTCACAAGCTCCATTCCAGACTGAATATCATCAGCAACAATAAAGGCATAAGCAACAAAATCAGCTTCATCATACCTCTTTGGAGGTACAACTTCTCTTCTCGGTCTATCTCTTGCAATACATGGAGTAGTAGCTCGTGGTGGTGAAGATGTTGACTCTTCAACAACAACGGGTTCATCAGACGAGGAAGACTCCTGATTTTCTACTGAACTTGGAATAAAAGTGGAAGGTGAAGTAGGAAGATCCACCTTCATTTGAGTTTTCTCTTTACTTGCTTCTGATGACGCATCTGATGCAACTATATCTTTTGAAGAGTCTGAGATTGGTTGAATCATAGCAAACTCATCAAAAGTAACATCTCTTGAGATAATGACTTTCTTCATATCAGAGCTCCACAAATTGTACCCTTTAACACCCGGATTGTACCCAAGAAAAACACATTTGATTGCTCTCGGTTCTAACTTCCCATTGTCAATTCGTGCATAAGCTGGACATCCAAAAGGTTTTAAATCTTTATAATCGTCAGGCATCCCAGACCATAACTCAAACGGAGTTTTCTTCTCAATTGCTCGTGACAGTGATCGGTTGATAAGATAGCAAGTAGTCGAGACAGCCTCCGCCTAAAAGGACTTTGGCAATTTGGAATTAGAAATCATACACCAGACCTTAATGGTGCGATTCATCCTTTCGACTACACCATTTTGTTGAGGCGTATGGACTATTGTGCGATGTCGAGTGATGTCTTCCTTTTGTCAATAGGCATTAAACTGTTCTGAGCAAAACTCAAGTCCATTATCCGTACGAAGATACTTTACCACCAATCCTAATTGCTTTTCGACTTGTACTTCCCAATTTCTAAAGGTAGAAAAAACTTATCCCTTATGTTTCAAGAACAAATCTGAATATAGTTTATACTCCTATTTCAATATCTTTTTCTTCAAATTTACCAGAATATGATTTTTAATGTGTTTTTTTAGAAATATACTTATTTTATAATTTTTCTTCTAACTTGTTTTTAGAACATTTTTTAATCTTATTTTTTTTCAAAGAAATAGAAGTGAGGACCATTGTTTTCTTGGTTTCCTTTCTTAATCATTCCCATTCCATTGTTAAAAAAAATTCAAGAAGAGGATGTTAGAAGTTCTTTAAGATCACAATGAGGTCAACTACATCTTAACAACAAATACATGAGTTGTTAACTGATATGTTTGTGGTAAATTCTCAAAACTGCTAGCATTATTGTGCATTTATTCCTCAAAGTTCAAAACTTCATGTTTGTGATTAGCGACTAAAGAAACCTAATTGTCGTTATGGAGGCTGAGAAATTGGGTTGACATAGAGAAAATAGAAGTAACAACTATAGATTTCGGTGAATGAAGCAAATCATTTCAAGTGTAGTTGTAATAATCTCTCAATCAACAACAATTTAATATACATAATATAACTTATACAAATACACATGAAACTACACCAATTCACTAAGTCTCTATTTTTAATAGTCCCTTACTCTCTAAGAGATAGTTTGACACCTTAGGAGTTTAAGCCCTATTGGCTACTCTAAAATCTATGTGTTAGGAATCATAAGACCATCACACAAAACAAAGGGAAAGGGTGGTTAATCTTATCCCTCAAGTTGTTTATAGCTTGTCCCATGGAAGTTTTCCACAGGTCTAAATCCTCTTTGGTATTGTCCAAAGGAAAAGGTATTCTTAACTCAAGTTTTGACCTCACACTCTTATAACCCCACCTAGTATGAATGCACATATTCACGCTAGAAAAACTTTTTCAAAACTTTATTAGTATTTGGTTAACTCAAAAACTCTTCAACTTTTTATGAATGCAAAAAGAAATACATATAATATAACAAATATCACACAAAGTTTT